TGCTGAAGGCAGTCCAATTTTGCTGATTTCTGAAGGTTCCTTGAATGATCTAAATACAAGATTAGAAAAGAAAGCTTCAATGACTATCTTCCGACCAAATATTGTTGTTAAAGATTGTAGTCCTTACGAAGAAGTAAGTATTATTATTATTTTATTCTATTTATTTGTATCCCATCTTTATTATTTTTATAAACAAAGCGGTGAACATATCCAACATACTTCCTCCCGCTATTTTATTGACAACAACAAATTTGTAAAGTGGGTTTTGCTGAGAGAAAATGACTGGCCCCAAATTCCCCACTGGCTTTCATGACTAAGGCAGGATTTGAACTTACAGTCTCCTGCTTTCAAGCCTGGTGTCTTAACTACTAGATCAGACTGGCTCTTACAGGTCTATCTTAACTGTGTTTGAACTGCTACTTTTCTCCATCTCTAATTTATGTTATTGCAGATATGCCTCAAAAGAGTTTTATTGAGATGTTAAACTTAAATCAATAGCTTTTTAAATATGATCTTGTGAGTATATTGGTTTAAAAAGAAAATTGTGCAGAAATATTGCTCTATAACTGACATGTATTATTGGAAAATAGTTAAATAATGCAATTGCAAAGTATTTAATGGGATTCAATTTCTTTGATATAGGATTCTTGGGTTGATATATTAATTGGAACTGTTAAGTTGAAAGGAAAAATGTCTTGTCCAAGGTAAGACAGTTTAGAGTTGGTATTTTGATCTCATGATCTTGCACAAAATGAATAATTTCATTTTTAAAGACATTCCTATTATGAAATTAAAATGTAACAACGTCTATGTCTATAGGTGCATTTTCACAGCAGTGGATCCAGATACTGGGATCATGGGTGAAAAGGAAATCCTAAAAGCTCTGAAAAGGTAACAAATAATGTATATGAATGCTCCTTCTTTAGATATCTGGATGTCTCTGTACCAGTTCACAATGTTACTCAGCATAAAGTAATAATAATAATAATAATAATAATAATAATAATAATAATAATAATAATAATAGTAGTAGTAGTAGTAGTAGTAGTAGTAGTAGTAGTAATAAAGTTGGAAGGGATCTTGGAGGTCATCAAGTCCAACCCCCTGCTCAGGCAGGAAACCTTATACCATTTCAGACAAATGGCTGTCCAGTCTCTTCTTAAAAACTTCCAGTGTTGGAGCATTCACCACTTCTGGAGGCAGGTTGTTCCACTGGTTAATTGTTCTAACTGTCAGGAAGTTTCTCCTTAGTTCTAGGTTGCTTCTCTCCTTGATTAGTTTCCATCCCTTGCTTCTTGTCCTGCCTTCAGGCGCCTTGAAAAATAGCTTGACTCCCTCTTCTTTGTGGCAGCCCCTGAGATATTGGAACACTGCTATCATGTCCCCCCTCGTCCTTCTCTTCATTAAACTAGACATACCCAATTCCAGCAGGCTTTCCTTATATGCTTTAGCCTCCAGTCCCCTAATCATCTTTGTTGCTCTTCTTTGTACTCTTTCTAGAGCCTCAACATCCTTTTTTACATCGTGGTGACCAAAACTGGATGCAGTATTCCAAGTGTGGCCTTACTAAGACATTGTAAAGTGGTATTAATACTTCATGTGATCTTGATTCTATCCCTCTGTTAATGCAGCCCAGCACTGTACAAACAGAAATCAGCACCACATATATGATAAGGAACATTCTTATTGTTTTAACATCTTCAAATACCTTAGCACTTTAAGCTCTTTCCAATAAATCTTTTATAGCTCATACATACAATGTTAGGCAGACAGATTCACATGGTATACATCTAAATCAGTTAATTTGTCAAGATCCAGTTTTTATAAATTGATTAAATTAGTTTTTTCAAAGCAATTCTCCATTTACTATAATTTGAAATACTTTCTTCTATTAACTGAAACCACTTAATTTTTTTTTCTTCATTTCCTTTACTAGTTCCATGTCTTCTTCTCTTTCTGATTTTGAAGCAGGGCTTCTGCATCTATTAGATTTATAATTCTGAAATAGCTGAGCAGGCAGTTAAAGCTTCAATATTTCTAATAATTTATGCAAAATTGTAAATCCAGTTTTACCCCAGAGAAATTAAGTAACTGCTTCAGGTTGTTCTCTCTCTTGCTCTGTGCATGTCTCTAACTTAATTCCATATTATATGGCTGTGACATTAATGTTTCATGTAAACCTATAGAATAGGTTACATGAAAACATTCCATTCTAATAGATGATTGTTCTATCATAATCACTGTTGATAAATATCCATTATCTCAGTGCTGCAGAATTGACGTTCACTATTCATTTATATCCTGGAATGTATAGCATCTATTTTATTCCAAAATAATTTCTAATTCTGTTTTTCCATTTAATTTATTTTCAGTTATCGCAAGTGTGATCCTTCTGAAGAACATATCTACAAATCTAATCCTCCTTTTGGATGGCTATATGGAATTGAGGAAATGGGAATACTTGAAGTTGGGGATCCTGTGTACAAGATAATCTCATGATGGGAGGCACCTGTGCAGTGGAGTGTAATTTCTCTGTATATGGATTCTCTACTCATTTTTTAAGATCTTTTTTTCTTCCTTGTAAATTGGATACTTATTTATTGTAGGCAGTTCCATGTGGTCACTAAGAGTCATCACCAGCTTGATAGTAATTCATCACTGTCATGACTGAGAATATACATCATCACATCAACATCACAGCTGAAACATACAGTTATGTCCCTTTATTGCTTCAAGAAAAGTTTGAATAAAGGGAAAACTGGATGAATAACAAATAATAGTTAGAATCTTTTTCAATCAGTATTCTTAATGCAATAAGGGTGAGGCCATGTCTTGCTGATTGCAGAATATTGTGATAATGAAAGTAAAACTTTCCATATTAGAATACAGTGCTGTTTTTAGACACATGGATGAAACAGATGTATACCTATTTCTGGGATATGCTTGGGTTTACTTAATTCCTGAAAAGGCTAAATATAAAGATATAATAAAAGTATGTGGCATTTTACTGTACTGTATAGCCAAGGCAAGTGAAAATCCTCTTCATCATGCTTGGCTCACTTATTGCTAAATTTACAAATGACTGACCATTTGTAAAAACAATTGTACAGATGTTGAGCTACCTAGAATTATCAGCACCTATAAATTTGAAAAGTAAATTCTTTACTGGAGGAATTTCCATAAATCTGAAATGATTTATGTCTGATTTTTTTTAAATCTCAAAAACCTGGTATTTTAACAGGTGTGTGTAGACTTTATATATCCACTGTACTTCTATGTGCCCGTGATTAAATTTGTAGCTGTAAAGGCTATCATATGGGAATATTACAAAAAGTGCTATATAGATCAAGCTTTATTGGATTTCATTTTTTAAAGGTACAGTATATTTTGTCCCAGGAAGATTAAAAAAAAACTAAAGCTAGACACAGAAAAATAAAAAAAATTAACTAGTTAATTCCTGTAAATTAACTACCGTACTAACTGATAAAAAATATGGCCATGGGGATTTTCACATTTATAAAACTTTTAAGCAATGCTTCATGTATAAAGATATTTTGTATTTCAGAAGTGATGCAATAAATACAGTCTAAGCAATTTTACTGTAGGTAACTCAGGCTCATATTTGTTAAACCCTTGTCCATTAAGAAATGTACAAGATTTTGCTATCTCCCAAAAAGTGAGGCCCTCAGAGTTGGTCCTGTGTGCTTCCCTAAAGCCACCAGTGCTGGAAACATCATCAGGGATGAAATGCATATAACTCAAACATTGCAGCATCAGTTGGGGGAGCTGCCTTTGGTGCTGGAATTGACAAAGATGTCTTCACTTCCTGCTAAATGGATCTGTAAGGACAGTTCTGGTGAGAATACAGCAATCACAGAACTAGGGCAGATTTCCAGCAGCTAGTACAAAAGCCTTTAGAAATGAACATTATCCTTCACAGAAAAAGAACAATAGAAAAAATGACTTCTGACTTTCTTTGATGCAGATACGGAAACATATTTAATTTATGACTTATTAAATTATGGAAAATTCAATTTTTCATTTTTTAGAAACGTATTGGCAATGCAGGTAGATTTCATTTATACAGAGTGGTAATATTGCCACCTTGTGGTGAAATGTGTTAATAAGCATCGGGTTGGTACATTGAGATTTTCTCAATTAATAGAAATGGAATAGAAGTGAATTAATAGAAATATAATCAAGAACAGGAGCACTGGGATGGGGGCGGATTGGGAAGGAAGATGGGAGGTGCTGATGCATTTTGTTAAATTGTTTTTGAGTTGTAGTCCATAACCATGTGAAACATGGTACACCTCGATATCTTAATTGTTGCCAGTCTTTACGAATGAGAAAAAACCATTTACAAATATTACGTTATTGTGCAAGTATAGAGACTTCTGGTGATCTATATGTCCGTATCATGAGCAATTGTTAGGCAAATCTGCCTAAATTGTTCCTCGTCCTCCTCTTTTTAGGATGCCTGGCACAAGATTGTAATTTGTGGTTTTAAAATAAGAGGTGGCAACTGGCAGGTAAATTTGGGCCAGAAAG